GTATTTTGACTGCGGAGGAAGATTTTATCACATGACTTCATCGACTGATTCATCAGACCGACTCGTCGTAACAATATCAGTAGTCTGCCATGTTAACACTTTAATCTAAATTTCGCAAGTAGGAATCCTGAAGAACGAATATCAAAGTTGGAACAAAATATTTGGTATTAAGAATTTGGTGATTATGAAATTCAACAAATCTGTTGGTCATATCCGGCCAATCGGTATCAATAGAACAACATGATTTAAGGATGAAATGCTTGTCTTTTCCACATCCACTTAGAATAAAAAATCAACATTTCGATTTAACAAATCGAAAGAGTAAGAGAAAGTTAAGGATGGATAAGAGCAGGAGGGAGGCATTTGTCTATCTAAGAGAGACGTTGTTAAGTTAGGAGTACATTCTAACAATGTGGTCAGTGCCCTCCAATAAATGACAAAATTTTACTAGTAAACATATGAAAACTCTCTTTTTTAAAATCTATCCTGTCCGTGTGTACTATGCAACTACAATAGCTTTTGAAGTTAATTGATTGCGCTTTTCGAAAAATAATAACGATAAATTTTATATATTATGAAGTATATGTGTTACACGTATATAATCATATATTTTCACATCGTAATTTAGAGACAACTACTTCAACTTGTTACAGCTTTATAACAATAATATATATAATTTTATTGTTATCATTTTCGAAAAGCGCAATCAATTAGCTTCAGAACCATACAAAAGCTATTGTAGTTTGTATAGTACACACGGACAGGATAGATTTTAAAAAAAGAGTTTATAGTAAAATTTTGTGTTACTCACTCATTTATTATTATTGGAGGCACGTGCCGTTTATTACCCAATAATAATAAGGATGGCGTTAAAAACTACTTGTGCTTCAATGCAGAAATGAACAACGAACAGTTACTAAACCATTTACATTTGCTGGGTAACCAAGTTGTTCCCGAACTAATTATTGGATACTAGGGTGTCCGTGCTTCGGCACGTTGAAGTGAAGTTGGAAGAGATGATGGTTGGTAATTTTGTCATTTAACGTGGTATTGTTACGGTGAAAGAAGTCTGTTATGTTAACGCTTTGGTGTAATAAATAGAAATCATAATAGGGAAAGGTTATATCAGGGACTAGAGTTAGTAAGTATGAGCTTTTACTACTTCTCACTGGTTTGTTGGTGACCGCTAATAAATATCGTCAGGTACTGACTATCTTCTGTTTACAACATTTAGCGACCGGATGGATGGTCCGCAGCATATTTATTCTTTCGGCCCAAACTGCGACGTAGCTGCTACTACGACAATGCTATCGCCGCCACATATAACAACTATAGTTACATACGACAAACGCAATTGCACCCACAAAACAACAACGCAAATTCTACCACACAACAGGGCGCTGCCTCGACAACAACGCTATGGCTCCACATACGACTACATATGCAAAGAGGTTACTCGATAGTAACTTCTTATTCTTATAAACGTCCACAGTTTATCTCTTTACCAAGCAATTCAATGCCTCCTGGATCAATCAACATTACAAAGTCTGACGCTTTAACGCGCGAACAGAAGGCTGCAAATTTGAACAGAAGATCAACGAGCAATGATGATGTAATTAGAAATCTAGAAAGGTTGATTTTACTATCAATGAGAAGGTTGGGTTAAGACGAACGGACGAATCAGAAGAGAAAGAATCGAGCTCTGCTCGGTGAATAAGCTGATAAGAAGATTATTCGAACACTAGAAAGGCGGCACTATCATGTTGACATCAATTCAGTACTGGAATCTAACCAAAACCGCTCACGACTCGAAAGAACTCGTAGCGTTTGGCTACACAGAAACGTTGAAAAAAGGTTTCGGCAGTGTTATGGTAGTACTGCTATGGTCAATGTTGTACATCGAGAATGTGTTAGTATTATTTTTAACAAAAGTCCCAATATGTTATTATTATACAAAAACTAGTCCAGAAGTTGAATCCCCTGATTTCTCTTTCATATTGTCACCGCAATTGTCTCCGACGTCAGAGGCTGTATTATCGAATGAATCTTTGAAATATACCATGTCGTATTAAACCTGAACCGCAGTCAACTGTTGAATTGCTCACGACAATGATTTATGTTACTTCATTGCGCGTATGTAAAGAGCTTAACGATCAATTAGAATTATTTGAAGAAAGGGCTTGATTTCAAATACGAACTATTATTTGTATTATAATTTATTGTATAAATACTTTTGAGATTTGTATGTCATATATAAGACTTTTTTTTAAATAAACGATTTTTTGATATGTCCATTGTAAGACAGAAGCATCGTATAAGAAGGATCATGATAAAATCGAAATTCTCAGTCATGTGTCTTCAGTTTTATGATGATGTTCAAGGAAAACTCGTAAGTTGTGGTTGGGCGCTGTTTTGGTGGTCTGATTCAAAAGAACTAAACAGGTGGCAATCTATTATAGTTTTGACATGCTCATGGAGTCGTAAGTAGCACAAGATCAAATGATTCACGTTGTCTTGGTGATGTGTAGAAAGATGAGCGAGCTCATGACAGCATGGCCGATCTCGATAAACTAGTAAAAAAAACTGGCAAGGACTATAAAAAACAAACAAAGAGGGATAACAGGCTGCCGTTGAATCCCATGAAGTAAGTAGACCGTATTCACCAAAATGATTTTGCTCATCCACTTGTGGCATTCTTTATATAGAAGTATATATCTATACGCTGACGTCACTTAGTACAGAGATTGCCCAAAAACGTAAGGAATATACAATTCAGCTTACTCAACGAGAAAAGCGAGCAAATTCGACGATAGCGCAGATAGTGTGTCGCCTGGCTGAGGCACAGTTTGCGTCTTTTAATGATTCGTTGAAGAAATGCGGACCAAATGAAAGAATGGGCCCCATTCGCTGGAGAAAACATGCCTCCTCCCCAAGAATTAAATGACTTAATTGATACTGATAATAAAGATGACGACGTTGAACGAGCGTCCTCGATAAATTTAAATTTTTGAAATTATTACCTTTTGATTGCTCTTTTATCGTTCGGTCAAATAATAACATATCTTTAATGGCAGGCACAATCAGAATCTCTATACAATATATTACTATTTGAGGAAGTCAAGTGACTTAATAATAGATTTCGGTTTCATATTGTCATTGAAAATTGCTCAAATTGAGTTTCATTTTATTTCATTTATTTTTGTTTTTGAGTTTTCGATGGTAGATTACTCAGATTGAGGATTTCCACCATCAACTATGCTAGTCGCAGACAGTTTCCGTGCATAGCACCTACTACTACTGCTTCTTTATCCGCATGTGCCACGCGAGCATTTGCTATTTGTCCAAGATTGTCGCTGATCATGTAACTCACAAAGAATTTTTTGATATGATTAACCGTAACGGTAACCTCTACAGTATATTAATATGGCTCTGGTGCTTGGTATTCCATTGGTGGAAAACTCCTTTCTGGTGGTATTAGTCTTTTGTCCCAAATCACCGTAAAGGGATCTCTATATCCATTTGCTGGAAATAAAAATTCGTAATACTTATTCCAATCTTAATCCCGTTCACAAGAGTACGACGAACCCGATTGAAGATTGAGACATCGTTCTCTCCATTAGCCGATGGAAGTTTTCCATTTTCGTCAGTGAATTGGACCAGTTCTTTATGATAGTTGTAATATCTTATTATCCTATTGCAACTTCAAGCTTCAAGAGCGAAAGAGGATCATAAATTCTCTGTTTACGCTGATAGAAATGGTAGAGCTGTCTCTTTCTTTTACTTTTTTGGGCTGCTTCTGTCAACCACCGTTATGTGTCTGGAAAACATGGCTTGCCTTGATACAAGATTGTGACCAGCAGCTTTTAACATGTCTTTAAGCCTGTCGACTCTTTCAGATGGGGTCAAGAATAAATGTAACCCTGTACGCGTATCTGCCAAGCTCTTCCACCTATCGCGTTTGGATATGAAGGTATCGTCGGCTGTTGCATCTCTTCGTCGCTAGGCTTTCCCACCCAGAGGGCCGTCATCCTTGACCAACACTCCATCGAATTCCATATAAATTGGTTGCTCCCCCTCAAGGTTCTTGTTCAGGAAGGATAGCTTTGGCGGATGGTTCGTATTGTAATTACGTTATTGTCTGTTCTCGACTCTGTAACAAAGATGTCCTTTTGAAGGAATCCACTCGTTTCCAAAGACTTGGCCGCTAGGAAATCTCGACTTCTGTGTTCTCTTGAGACATTTTGTTTCTGGGTCTAGAGGACGTGGATGCTGTTTCCGAAACTCTGTTGCAGGAGGGGAGCTGATGACCTCCTTTTGCTTGAGCCCCTTTGCGGAGGGTTGCGGGAGAGAGGGAGAGAGGGAGAGAGGGAGAGAGGGAGAGAGGGAGAGAGGGAGAGAGGGAGAGAAGGAGAGAAGGAGAGAAGAGAGGGAGAGTTTAACTTGCCGCGAGGGGCATTACTGCGGTAGGAAGGGTGTTGCAACCGAAAGCTGCATGATTATGATGGAGATGGTGAATTTTAAATTTATACGTTTCCGCTAATTTCTTTTTATAGAAATTTTTTGGGAAGGGTCCGATTATATGAGTCAGGTGATCAGCGTTCTGAAAAACAACATCGTGCTCTTAAGATGACTCGCCAACTTACATTTCATCTCAGTCGCCTCTGCTATCTATAAATCGTATATCAGAAATGCGCAATGCTGTCATTGAATCCTGTTAATCATTGGTATCAATAGATACAACGACAAAAGATCCCAATTCATCAGCTGATACATTTATTTCGCATGCATACTTGCTAGGTTTCTCGTTTTGCTGGAACGAGTCCTTGAGATTGGCGTATTAGTATGATACTTCATGACATCGTCGACATTTCAAAATGCGAAAAACGACTTGCTGCGCATTTTCATCGATGATACTTCTACCTCACATCGAGTCTATCGCCAACTACTGACATTGACGGCAGCCCATATCAATGGATACAACGACATCGATGAATACTTCTACCTCACAATTCAGTCCATCGACTCAATCACTTTTCCAGACGTCATCGAACCACTTCCGTATCACGATTATTCAATGGATTCAATAATAAGACGTCGATACAATTGTTGATCGACACGTATGGACAGGAGAAATTTTGCTACTACTTACAATGATATATTTACATCCTTAAGTATACTCAGTTGCAATCAAGTAAAAATAATTGGATGAGTACTCGCGTTCTAAACTTAATGACTGAATTTTTTACGTATCCCCATGTTAGGAATCTCTGGATCTTTTATCTGCAGCGATGGAATTTGCGATGTGACACACACGTTCTACTTACTGTATAATATTGCGTTATCATTGCCCTGAATCATTTTACTAAATCATGAAACGAGGATTTCCGCTACACACAGTGAAACTCATGTGAAGGCTTGGCTATTCAAAAAACTATAAATGAGCGGCATGCCCTTTTGTGGCTAAACATCGATGAAGATCCCAAAGTGAAGAGTTATTTTTTGAACTGAGTAAATTGCAAAAGCTAAAAAGAATAAAGGGCGAGACATTTCTCGTAAACGCTCGTATGATAAATATGCAATTATTAGTTCCGCTTCGACCAATGTCGACTCTTCTGCTCACGTACATAAGACTACGAATGAGGATTCTCATTCAATCACTTTCAAAGAGGTTACATGGACCGACACCAGCAACAATAACGAAGTTGCTAATTTCAATACCGATAATTCCGCTACTTCTTTCGCTGCTATTGATATCTACCGATTCATAACACCGACAATCTCGACATTAAGTGGCCGCATATGATGGAAGTAGCCACTTGCAGGAATTGGTTACGTCCGCACAGGTTAAAGTTCGTACAACTACAAGTACTTGTCATTTTATTAAACAAATAGATACAGCAACCAACTATTACCTTAATATCTAGCACCGTTGTGTTAGTTGTATAAATATTAGACGAAACCTCTTTCGTCCATCCATACATAGATCTCTTATTTCTCTCTGTTTGTTGAAATAAAACCAATCTCTCTAGATTTCAGTCTTCTTCGGTCTTTTGTGTTGATTTGACATTCGAATGGGCAGCCTTCGGATAGTCAATCTAATCCGAGTGTTATGCAATGCTGTTCGCGTGTTAAAGTATATGGGAAGCATTAGTTGCTTCGGTTGATGATAGTGAGATATTAAACGGAGTGTTTATAAGAATGAATCCAACCAAGAAATTACTATTAAGTCTTCGTTCATCTCCCAATCGCCCCTTTGAGCGTGAAATGGTCCATCGAGGATATAGTAACAATAGCAGCATTTTCTGGCGATGTGGAACATGCAAACATGCGAACCTCAGATACCGCGATTTCACATTGTTATTATTTGGCTCCTCTAAAGTCTCGTGTAAGCTCATCCTATAAGATAATATTAATAAGATAAGATACCATCAATAATATACATTGCCAGTAAAGATCTCTGCGCCTAATCTTAATCACACACCTCGGTTGGAAGATGCACAAAGCATCGATTATATTATGTACCGCAAATTGGAAGGTTAACTCCTTGATAGTTTTTGTGGCGGCCAGAGGATATGTGTTTCAATTGTCTTCCATAAACAGGAGCCGCGTCTTATCATAGTTCTGATTGTACGTGGGTCTTTTCACATCTCTTAATTGTTTCGGCAGCTTCTACATGTTATAAAACCAAATCATAGTTACTATCAGAAATGACATTTGAGTTAGATTGATTCTTTTATATGTGAGGTTTTTCTTTATCTTAGCTGCATAAGTAATTGGACTTGTATCTACACACCTAATTCCGTATCCCACAGTTATTGTCTCAATTCCAATTTAGGCCAAATCCTTCTTTTCGACTTCTCGGACTTGTCAGATCATGCAGGAGATGAGAAGGTAAACCTGAATTATGCCCATAGAAAAAACTTGGTGCTTAGTCATTTCCTTTATGCATCGCCTTTTCTGATTCAAACACATGTTCATTGTACATTGCACCAATATGATCTTCCACACACCTTCACTTCTCTTATCACGCCTATTACTAACATGTCTCCATACCATGCGATCCCTTGCATATGAATGTAACTAATGCTGCTCGATTACAAAAGACATAGTTCATTGCATTCTCCGTGATCGAGTAAAGTATCCCTCCCACTTATATATAGTGCTGTTCGAATACGTCTTTCAGTTTTGACCTAGTTACAGCCTAAATGATAGTGACAAATTTTGCAGCTTAACGGTAGCATTTTAAGTAAAATACAGCTTTTTTGTTCATCAAGCACTTACATCTTGCTTTCCCGTTGAATCTTAGGGATTATTCTCACGCCCGAGGTAATGCGCGCTAATCTCATGCAGTTGGGAAGCTTTACCATTAGAAAGTCAGCATATATGATTCTTCTATTGTATTGCATGATCTCTAATCTCCATCTCCAATTGCTCATTTCAACGCTCAGAATAAGTAGATTCGCAAAACTTTTCAAATGATCGAATAGACTCATTCAACGCTTACCCAAAAAAAGCGCACTGCCTGTTAAATGACATTCTCAAGTTATGCTTCCATCTGCTAGTACGCCTAATTACGACAACTCGATGTGTGGAATAACTTACTTGTGGCGAGAATCCCGTCATCTGAATCTTCCCTCACAAAATTCGTATTGCTACAGATTGGTATCATTATACGTTTGTTCCCTTCTGGATGTTCCGATATTAAAACAAGAGCTCTTACCACGATAATACAGGCCCATCCGCGGTCCATTATTCTCTCTACCACCGTCAAGCACTTCTGCTCTCACAAAACCGGAGCCGCTACATTACTAATCCACATATTCGACAATAAAGGTTTCGTTCTAGACTTGACAGCACAAACGTTACCATCATCTTCGGGCACGATTTTGCTGAAATTAGGTTGACAAAACGTTTCTATGATCCCACGTTGCATGCTTCTGAAACACATTAGCCGCTCCTCTACGATATCTCTATTCGCCTGATAAGAAAGGGAAATTCCTAATGATGCGTAATACAATATTAAATAAATTTTGCGCAGTTGTATTTGTCATTATAGTAAAACTTTTAACGTATATTAATATGCTCAGTCGAAACACAGAATTAGTTTGTTTTCATAGTCCTTCAGTCGTATTTACTAAGCGAAGCAGGAGGAATCGACGCGCGACACCTTGTTGGTGGAACGGCTCTTAAAATTGGATTCCTAGTGTAACCCTTGTCTCACAGTATGAACGATATCAAAAATTAAGCCTATCAAGTGAAGGCTTTAACATTTGCGCGTCATAAATTATCTGGACAAATATAGTAAGATTTTACGTCATTAAGAGTTAGTACGTTGAAGACATTACGAAGATTAACTTTAGATCATTTATATCATAAATTAGCAAAAAAGTAAAAGTGTCTTCTTTATTATTTATGTGGAAATGGACGCGAACACTCTTCTTCCTCCACAAGCCCTGTACACATCGGCTGATACACAATAATAGATGCTTATCAAACATCAACCGCAGGGTAAGTCAAACATTTCCATCCCATTAGTAAGTACATTATAGATGCTTAACATCAATGATCGCTCCAGTTGATAGAGCATACCCGAACAAAAGTTAGTGGTGCATTTATATTCAAGCAAGAGAAAGTAACCGGTTTTATTTACGTGATTGGTTCAGTAGGGCTTCACGCTTGAAAAAGGAAAGCATTCACATGAAGAAAATCAACAGTAGTCTCATTTATCTATTTTAATTAAAAAATTCCATCTTAGAATATACCGAGAATTCGCGCGAAAGTGTCTTTCTGCAGTCTACAGTATTATTATAAGTTTAATGCATACTACATTATTTTCTTATCTTCATATTCACTCGATTCTTTTTCCAATCCATCCGTTCGGCTTAACCCAGCCTTGGCATTGAAATAATAAATCAATCTTTCTAGACATCCTAAATCCATGTGGTGGATTGATGTGCGACCCCAAAGATTATACCTTCTTCGGGACATATAAATCGTTGTTCCGGCGAGTTAAAGAACATATAACTTGAATTGAGTCGGGGATGTGGGTGGTAACGGCAATATATTACCGAATTATGGATGAGTATAACTTGTAACTGTTACATCTTAACCGCAGAACAAATATGCTGCATGTGGCAGAAGCAGTGTCGTTGTATGTGGCAGCAATTGCGTTGTCGCGTGTGGCAGCAATTGCAATGTCATGAGTTGCTAAATACTATGTGAAACAGAAGATGGTAAGTGTCTGATGATGTTTGCTAGTAGATGTCATTGACGATAAGTAGTAAAGCTCATACGTACTGGACTCTAGTCCATTGTTTCAATATAATTATCATCCCTAATACCACGTATCTCGGTTAAATAACTCCTCTACTCCTATGACTATTTATCACATTAAGGCGTTAACATGACAGACTTCTTTCACTGTAACAATATCACGTCAACTGACAAAACTACCAACCGTCATCATCATCTCCGCGAGGTGGATACCTAAGCCCAAGAGTAAACCTTTTTTTTTTTTAAACCTTGTTGCCTCAAACGGCACGTGAATTGATAACGATAAGAGTGAATTTGACTTAAAAGTCAATAAGGCTTGGTTAATATATACCGTATAGTTCCGAAAATTTGTAGTAATACAAATCGCAGTGTAAATATAAACAGTCACATGCATAGAAATATTTAGAAGAAGGAACTATGCAATATATTTTAATGTACTCATATCAATTGATAATAGGTTGGCGTAATCAATTGCCGTGGAACCCAACGTTCATCTCTGTTAGGAGGGACTTGGAACGACAACATGTTGACCATGTGAAATGAAGCCGACTATCTCATTCAATTCTATCTGCGAAGGTACATTTCTCGTGCTATTAGATTAGATAAAGATAGTCTTAACCGAGTAGTAATAGGGCTAACCTTCCACACTAAATTTAACCCTTAAGCATTATAGACACGGCGCAGTGTACCCGTTCCCTATGAACGTTTTATCCTCCAAGTCTGTTTGTATAAGATCACATCATTTAACAACAAGATGGATCACTTCTGTCTTCCGACTCAATTGAATCGGGGTGCATGATTTCTTGGTAGGATGTCCTTGTTATAAATTGTTCTCTCTTAAAATATTGAGCTTATCCCAGATGATTTTTTATTTCGCAACAAAACAACATAATTATCACGATTTTATGACAGTCGTTCAATTACTATTTAGATTTATCGTGTTTTGGCCCCCAAATTAATATATTGTTATTTGGTTTACTAACCAAAGTATCTGCTTTACGTCCCCACGGGATGTCATAAAGTTGATAGAATAGAAAAAAGAATAGCCTTTAGCAGGCCAATCGTTCTGATAGCATGAAGATTATCCGTCAAAGTTGACAGTCTCGTGACTGTAAAGTCAAGTTGTTAAAAAGATCCAGAGATTCCTAACATAGGGATAGCGTAAAAGATTCAGTCATTAGGTTTAGAACGCGAGTACTCATTCAATTATTTTTACTTGAAACTTACTTGATTGCAACTGAATATATTTAAGATGCAAACTATAAATTTCTCCTGTCCATACGTGTCGATCAACGATTGTATCGATGTTCTTATTATTGAATCTATTAAATCTATTGAATCTATTGAATAATCGTAATACGGAAGTGGTTCGATAATATCTGGAAAAAGTGATTGACGATGGAAGGTAGGATTCATCGGTGTCACTGTATTCATTGAGCTATACCAATGATTGGCAGGCCGTCAATAACAGTTGAGGTAGAAGTATGTATCTATCCGTCAATGATAGTAGCTGGCGGTGTGACTGAATTGTGAAGTAGAAGCATTCATTGATGTCGTTGTATTCATTGGGCTGTCCCAATGATTGGCAGGATTCGATGTCATTGATAGATGACAGCATTGTGCATTTCTGGTGCGGGTGAGATACAATTTGTAGATAGCAGAAGCGACTGAGATGAAACAGAATCGTCTGTTAATGTTAGCAAGTCAACCTCGAGATTATCTTCTATTGATTTATCACTAAGTGTTCTTCTGATGGTGTATGTAGAGAAGGATAAGGCGAGTCAACTTCCAGATTACCTTGTGTTCAGCTGAATCAGGGAGCGGAAATATGGTTTTGATACCTCAATATCATGTTTAAATGCTTTGTAGACTTTAGATGTTGAATAATTGCTAGCAAAGAGCTTCGTTCCTGACGAAAGGCTTCGTAACAAAGTGTTCTTCTGATGTATGTAAGAAGGATGAGCTTCGAGGTTGATTTATCACTAGTATTCTTCTTCTGAGTGAGGACTTGTGGTATCGACAATGAGTCGTAAGTGCTGGCATCGGCGTTGGCGTTAGATTTATAGATATGTTTTTAGTATTAGATGTTTGTTGTCGGATAGGTTTGATCGTTGGGGGGAATATCTGGTGTTTCGTAATAATGATATGCTGTACTAGTTATCTTTTTTAAGAGAACGTCTAGACTCGGCGAGGGGATGTTTTTCAGAGGGAGGTACCGCCGTTGTGCTGGAGGGCCAGGCGGTTGGACTATTTCGAATATTTTCGTTGCTCCATGTTGGCAAGTTGAAATCATCCGCGCGTCTGTCGAGACGTGTGTGTTTCTGCGGATTCCTTTTATGGTGTGGGACACCTAAAGACCGAACAGTCCGAAATTTTGTTCTGCAGATCACTTATCAATCACATGATATTTGT